GAACAACCCAATTTATCGTTAACAAGCACGCCAAGGTCGCGTTTGACGGATGATCGCTGCAGCACTTGCTTTTCTAGCTTATAGGAAGAGTTACTCTGGTGTCGTATGGAGAATACGTTGCACCTGTCTACGTTAAACTGCAAAAGAAATCCGGTTGAAAACTCATGTGACATATTCAAGTCACACTCAACTAATTGCCATCGGTATCCGACGGAATCCGGCGGCACGTCTTGATATCGTCAGCAAACAGCAAGAAATTTGAAGCGATTTTTCCGTGTAAGGTCATTGCTGAATATCAAAAACAATCGTGAACCTAGAACTGAGCGCTGGGGCACACCTGACTCGACTTGTATGGGTTCTGATAATGTACTCCGGACTCCGACCACTAATTGTCAATGCAAGAGAAAGTCGGCGATCCAGCTCAAGAGACATTCACCGATGCCGCGGTATTGGAGTTTGGAAAGGAGAACCCGATGATCTAAACGGTCGAATGCCTTTGATAAATCCATGTAGATTATATCAACGGCCTCTCCATCGTCAGTTGACTCGCTCCAACTACTCCGTGCGATTAATAGATTCGTTGTGCACGACCGCTGTCGACGAAAGCCGTATTGCTCGGGAGCAATAAGGTTACTATTTTATGGAAACACACAAACGCATCGACAGTGATGGATTTCATAACTTTGGATAATACATGGAGAAAAAGACACTGGGCAGTAATTTGAAGGCTCAGTCCTGTTTCCGGTTTTGTGAAGCGGCTATTACTTCAAGCTTCCACATTACAGGAATCTGGTGCTGGTCTAAGCACCGCTAGAAGAACTGGGTCAAAGGTTTTGCCAATTGTTTTGTTGCTGATCCAAGTGTTTGTGGGCGAATGGTGTCGAGTCCCGGGGATCCAAGTTTGTATAAGGAGGTCAGCTGCTGCAATAGAGTTTGGGGAGTAAAAGAGATGCGTATTAGTCATGGAGGCGGGAAAAGAAGTTAGGAGATGGCCTGATTGTAAGACCCTCTGAAATGTGGGAGCATATTGCCTCCGCAACTCGTTTACAACTTCTGTAGCTGTTCTAGTTGGACCATCAGTCATTCGGAGCGCAGGAATTCCCTGCCTCACCTTGTGACGACCATTGACATACTTGTACAGCAGTTTGTGTTTAGCGTTGAATGTTTTCGCCATATTCTGTTTATATGTGACTTTGTTATCACTGTGCGGTTGAGTGCAGGGATTACAATACACTACCTATATGTCCCATATATCTGGCGTCGGTGATAATCTATACTCTTGCCAGGCTGCGTTGCGTACGGTCATCGATTTTCTAGTTTCGCTCCTCATGAAACAAACGGTTTTAAGCCCATTGAAAACCCTTGTCTCTGAGGCATCCATAAGTTTTTGATTGAATTTGTTGACTAATTCAAGCCAAGCGACTTCCGGGTGGTCTTCAGCCAGGAACGACCAGGTTGTGACACTGACGAGCTGGGCTAAGCGGTCGTAGTGCGTAATGGTGCGCACCACCTCAGTGTTCTGGTGGGGATATTTCGCATAACAGATGAACACGAAACTGATGAGTGCATGATCACTGCGGCCCAAAGAGAATTCTACAATCAACACATCAATCATATGTTCCTCGTTGATGAACACAAGATGCAGTAAAACGGTCTATTACCTGTTCTGAAACGAGTGGACATGATGACGTGATAGTAATGTGGAACATTGTTTATGAGCTCATGCAGATTTGCGTTGAATGGTTCTCCGATTACAGCAGTGCTTTCCAGTGTACGTTGGAATCATCCATGATAAGGATGTGGATGCGCTTTCGCTTTAGACTGCATCTTAAAGATGTCGCAAGGTGGCTACCCATTTCCGGTGTAGCGTTTGGGAGGCAGTACACCAAAGCTATAAGGCAGGTGTATCTGCGATGTAATTGTAGGCGGCACCAAAGAGAATCGACAACCTGTAAGTCTGAATCGTCAAAGGCTTCGCACTGTAGGTCCGTTCGATAGTAAAGGACTGCTCCTCCTCCATACGTAGACCTGTCGTTACGTATGAGTGACATGCCCGGCAGCAAGATAACAGCATCTGTCATTCCACTGTGCAAGCATGTGTCCGTGATGCCGATGATATCGCAAGCATTCGAAATTTGGCGATCTTTCAATTTGGCCAGCTTATTGAGCATTGGTATAAAGGCAGGATGATTTCCCAGTCTCTAGGAGCAAATAGAGAACCAAAGGAGTCAAGTGTGGTAGAATGCCGACCGATGTGAGGTCGGCCGTTATTCATTTTTTGATGAGATGATGATGATGCGTCGTTCGCAAACTGATTTGGCCAAGGTACACGATATTCCTCATCCGGAGATACTGCGGAATTGCGTGACTAAGCGGTAAAGTGATGCTCCTGCGTTATCGCTGGTAGGTTTTTAAGGTAGGCTAATGTCTAGTCTTTGCAAGGCTTCAGCAGCTTTTAAGCAAAGTTCTGATGGAAGGCTTTTATGATGTCTCCGTCAACGTTTTAACACTTCCGTCGCTGTCTGCCTTGACTTAACCAGAAGTTTTAAGGTTCTTGGTCCACTTCCTCTATAATTTGGTGAGAGAGGTGGCCTTTTGAGCGATCGCGCCACAACGTCGTCCAAGAAAAGTGTTTCACGAATGAAGTGCCACCGTTCCAAATCGTGATTACCGGCCTCATGACTATCGTGAGTAGGAAGTTCTGGCATGCCATAAATAAAGAGTTTGCTTGAACAATGTGGCTTTCTGTCTCCATCCGAGATGTTTCTTTTCGAATGACGCGTGCTCTAAAGGATCTCAGGATAGATGCGTACATTACAAGGCCTGTGTTGTAGAGCACTTGCAGAGCGTAAAACGTTTTCCAAATCATTGACCGATTCCGGTGTTAATCTAATTATCCCGGGCTCATCATAGTGCGCAGACTTGGGTGACGAGTAACTCTCACTAAATTTGTGGGTCGGGTTTTTACGTTCATCAAAATGCATAGTAAATTTCACTGATCTTGCCCGTCAGTTAACTTCTCCCGCAATGTGACGGCGGTAGATTCGGGGACATTAGCGCACATGACAGTCAGAGAGTTATTATTGGAGCCTTTTCTTGTTGAATTGTAAGGTCGAGTGATCGTTGGGCCTGGCTTTATGCTAACTGATGATGGTATACTATTTGTTGCGCTATTGACGTTAGCGGATTCTGCAACAGAGGAGACACTAAATGTTGCATCCCGAGGGGCTTTGCAGCGAGCTCTGGATATGTGACTGGAGTCTCGGGGGATTTGAACTCGACCAGAGACCCTTGGGTTGCGGATCCATTAAACTCAGGTTCGGCTGTCCCATCCTTGTTAATGATACAAGTAGCCGAAACCGGCTGAAGTTGGTCGATCACACTTTTCGAGTAGTGCATGATTTTCGTGCTCCTGAGTAACGTTTGTATATCAGAGCTACGGTCTGCTTTCGCTTGGCGTTCATTCCAAATTGAAGAAGATAATGGCAATGCGGACCTTGTCAGTTATGGTTCGTGCGAAGCAAATTTTGCAATATTGCTTCTCTTTGAAGCCCCCGTGTTATTCTGGTGCATACTCGCTTCCTGTGATATACTTTCAGCGGTAGTTCCTTGTTCAACTTCTTCTGCTAACTGGTCGCACTTTTGGTTTAAGAGATGTATGCCTTTAACCAGTGGGATTATTGAACACGCTGTATAAAACCAGAGATCAGCTTGAGAGCTGTTTCGATCTCGCACATGCTGTTGGGAAAGATTCGCACGTTTTGGATGGTACCATTTGAAACAGTGTGAGCAAGGTAAACTAAATTTGACTAACCAGTTACATTCTGCGGGCCGGCATTTTCCCTTCGACTGGAGCCCTTTTGGATTCGCATTTACTTGCTTTCTGCTACTCGTCATATTGTTGCTACCTAAAACAGTAGGTTAGTTAATGTCGCGTACTTTTGCCGACTGGCCGGTTGCGCACCCTAGTCAGACGGATGGATGCTTCCACTTCGCTTCTTGGCCACACACTGTCTTATGGACTGAGAGAGAACGCGATAAAACCAACCCACCCGAACTTGAAGCGGACACAGTGCACGCTAGTTTCAGTGCACACTCCGGGCCCAATGCCGCACGGTAAGATGACTGCCGGGGTGATTTGTACTCCTGTTTACTGGAAGCAGTGCTGCTCGTGACAGGTCACGCGGTTGACACGACAACGAGTTTCTACGTCACGGGCTTCATGGCACTTAATTTCATGGCGATGATTAACAGAAGGACATGCAATCAACTATACCCCCCCCAAAAAAATTTTCCTTAACGGAAACACGAGAAGTGGTGCAACAACCGGGTCGGTTAAACCGACTAACAAATTAAAGCGCCTCTTGAGCATTCGTAGTAGCTACCTTATCTAAATCCATGCCCACAGTAAAAACGCAGTGTGAAGGTGTAAAAATATGCTGGACTCTTGCTGACTTGGCAAACGACGGTGACGCAGCTGGCCTGCCGAAGTTGTTATAGTGCACAGTAATTGAATTCGACCGAGTTCATCCAAAGCCTCTTGGAATTCACTGGCGAGCCAAAATGTGACATAATGCATGGCCACAAAACCAACAATTTTGTCGCAAACTATGTGGTAAGTAGGAAGTTAGGTCATTTATAGCTTGCGAAGCTGCAACCAGTTTGTACCAAAGGAATCGCTATTGTGCATGTGGGAACACAGTAGGTACGTTGCCATTCTCTTTTAAGGCTGAAGGTGACGGTGTCTCCGACACCGGCATTAGCAAACTAAGGCAGAAGTGTATGATGGCGGTATAATTAAACATGAGTTCCAAAACGCATGAAACCTAACTCGTTGGAAATGGCGTATAAAGCCCGATTTTCGACATTAGAAAGACGGTGTCCCTACAGAACTTCTCGATGCTCGAACTCCCATTACTTCCATCCGATGATTAAATGGGGGTATTTGGAATATCCAGTTGGATAAATAGGAGATAATAAGTTACTTAGCAAGCAAAGATTTATTGCACTGCAGGAGTAAACATTGACCTAGCTAACTCACTGTAGAGTAAATAAACATTTCCCGCTTTTCGCTGCGTTCTTAACGAACCTTCCCTTCCTATGATGAGGGCGGTGGGCAGATTTTTCGGACCACTCGGTTTCATAGCTATGACCGTATGGGCTGAGAGACCAGCTCCGGATGGAAAACCTTTGAGAAGGGGCTCGGAAAGTGCGGCAGGTAGCCACCTGTTGCTCGCTGTATCGTATGTATGTACACCGGGAATTCGCGCTTGGCCATTCCAACCACCTAGGAGTGAATAGAACGAACAGGAAGATTGCATTCTTTGATATATGTGTAAAATAAATTCATACTTATTTCATTTACATATTTATGTATCGTTGGGTGGAGCCTATGATACTAGTTGGTAATCAATGACACGTAGGAGACGTATCAAATACGGGACCGGATAGAAGTTGGAGGCGACTGAACCCAATGTATATTGTGAAGGCTAGAAAAATAGGGAGCGAAACAAGCAGAGCGAGAAACGGTGCACCAAGGTACTCATCAAAACGAATTGTGTCAACAGATGTGCAGTCAGTAAAACAAGTGGGCGTTTTAAAGGTTAAAACAGCCGTAAAATCCAATGTTGCAAACTACTGACAGAGCGTGTTTCCCGGTATATCACCATACACAGTATTGACTAAATTATTATAACTTTATTATTATTATTTATTATTATAAATCATAATTATAATTAGGCTTGAAATTAGTGTTATTATGATAACTCTATTATTATAACTTTATTGAGTGTAGCAAACTTTTTTCACATTTCGCACAAGAATCCAATGAGGTTACTGTAAAATGATTGAATTTCAGAAGAAACACTTATACTGCGTAGAAATCCATCAAGGTTATTGCAATCGAACTGGCAATTTTCAAACAGCTGACCCTGATGGGCATGGATTGAGCGAGTTTTGCAAGTGATAGCAACTTCTTTTATGTTATATGTACAATAGTTAGGTAAACTCATGCTTATGAATGATCTTAATCTGTCCTTTCCTACTTAAGTCTACATTTCTGGATTCCGGTTGCCCGGTTTCGGATCAATTTATAATTATATTTCATTACTGTTATTGTTACTTTTCAAGGTATCTTCTCAAGTAGCGACACAATCGTATTCATCGAAAGTTTCTAGATGGTATTAACATACTGAGGGGTAAATTACGGGACCTAACCGCTCGAAAGCGTGTAAAAATTGAAGTTTTGTTGAACGAATGTGTTCAATGGTTCAATGGTGCATGATGGGAAAAAAAGCATAACTTTACAAGACCCACAGGATGGATATGCAAAAGAAAATTAAAAACAAAATGTCCCAACGTGGAACGTAAAGCATCAGTAGTTAAATCGTTGCACTTTAGCAAAGTGTTGGGTATCGTTTATCACTAAGATGAAAATCTAAGAGTCTTTCGAATGTCGTCATGTCTGGTGCGTTCACCACATAGTTTGGTAATGCATTCCAGTGCGAACAGATTCTAAGGGAGAAAATATACTTTCTACAATTCAAACGAGAGTGTTGAGTCATTAGTTTCAGGTTGTTTCCTCGGTTTTGTTTGTATGGGGCTAAAGTCAACAGTGATGTACATGGATGCTCGCTTTCGGTTAGTATCCGGTATGTGAGAGTAAGATCTCCGCGAAGCCGTCGGTATTCTAATGAGAACACACCGAGTACACGAAGACGCATTTGGTAACTTATACCGGCTAGTGCACGCGTTGCCTTTGTGGCTCTTCTTTGTCGCTGTTCCAAGAGGCGAATGTCTCGTTTTAACCATGGACACCAGGCCTGAATTGCATATTCAACATGAGGGCGAATGTAGGAGTTAATCAACAATGGTACTAGTCGCCTCTCAAAAGTGCCGATAGCTCGCCTCAAAAGTCTCAAGTTCAAGTTCGCCATACTTGCTGCTTTCGAACATTGGAGCGAATTTCCAGGACTCTCTTGCACGATTATACCTAAGTCGCGTGCACTAGTCACGGGTTGCATGACGGGTTGCCCCCAAAGGTATGTGTTGACGAAGCTGTTGTTAATGAATCCGAAATTGTTACCGAGGTTGGTACTGGCCCAGCGTCTTCTGTATGCCAAATTTGAACGTATTTGTGAAGGATTTACCCCTGTCCACTAAACGTTCCGGCAAATGTGGTCGCAGAAAAGCAACAACGGCTCGAGACAACTCATTTCTGCTTAGGAAATGCCGTAAAAATTGCAATGCATCTAGCAAACAGTTACAAGGGATGTTAGAACAGCATGGTGTTGCAGTAAGTTCTAGAACTGCAAGAAGACGAAATTTGGATTTTGGACTTCGAGGTTTCAGACCACTGAGAAAGCAAAAGGAGCTGCTGCTTTTGCTTCTCACCCGTTCTCAGTCAAAGTTTTTGGCCCATTCCTATCGTTTTTCTTTCATTTGTTCCATCAACGTTTACTTTCTGACAGGTCTGTAAGCTCGAAGTTCAAAATCCAAATTTCGTCTTCTTGCAGTTCTAGAACTTACTGCAACATCATGCTGTTCTAACATCCCTTGTAACTGTCTGCTAGATGCATTGCAATTCTTACGGCATTTCCTAAGCAGAAGTGAGTCGTCTCGAGCCGTTGTTGCTTTCCTGTGACCACATTTACCGGAACGTTTAGTAGACAGGGGTAAATCCTTCACAAATTCGTTCGAATTTGGCATACAGAAGACGCTGGGCCAATACCAACCTCGGTAACTAGTTCGGATTCATTAACACATTCTTTCAACAAAACTTCAATTTTTACACGCTTTCGAGCGGTTAGGTCCCGTAATTTACCCCTCAGTATGTTAATACCATCTAGAAACTTTCGATGAATACGATTGTGTCGCTACTTGAGAAGATACCTTGAAAAGTAACAATAACAGTAATGAAATATAATTATAAATTGATCCGAAACCGGGCAACCGGAATCCAGAAATGTAGACTTAAGTAGGAAAGGTCAGATTAAGATCATTCATAAGCATGAGTTTACCTAACTATTGTACATATAACATAAAAGAAGTTGCTATCACTTGCAAAACTCGCTCAATCCATGTCCATCAGGGTCAGCTGTTTGAAAATTGCCAGTTCGATTGCAATAACCTTGATGGATTTCTACGCAGTATAAGTTTTTCTTCTGAAATTCAATCATTTTACAGTAACCTCATTGGATTCTTGTGCGAAATGTGAAAAAAGTTTGCTACACTCAATAAAGTTGTAATAATTCGGCTAACAATGTATACCCATAATGTACGTTACACTCTGATAAACGCTGAGCTGATAGCAACATCATGAAATCCAAGGCTATGTTGCTAAACTGATTCCTTACTTGGAGCCGACTGGAGAATTGTTCAAGCTAAGGTTATAATTCGAGCATCACAAGCACGAAGTATATCCATCCCACGCAATGTTAGTAACTTAACCCTTAGTGCAGGGCGTGCTCGTTGTGTTCAGAGATGGCGGGTTTCTGTCATGTTGATCTCACGTTAATCGCACCCCTAAAAACTGCAGGCAAATCAGTGAGGTTACTATCGCAATCGATGAGAAAGTGATGAACCCTTGGCCAGATGAAATAACAATTTTATAGGTAAAACGCTAGATGCACATGACTGAAGTCAAACTTTAGAACGACCTATTTTCTCAGTGAAGATATATACTTAGCCAATCTGTAGGAGCTGCAACCGTCCCTAGACTCAGCGGTGTACAAGAACAGCGAAATCTCGGCTCTCTAGATGGATGTGGAGACACATTTACCCCTTACTGGTTATTATTATTTGCGTTAGACACTGAGGCCTACCAAGTAAGATTATTTACCACAAGCTTTCTATAATACTAAATATCGGTAAAATACTAATTATGTCCAGCAAAGTTTCCGTACGAAATATTCATGCCCATGTTGCCGTGAGCTACGGTGCGAGGTTGATAGACGAAACGTGGTGCTATAAGTTGATAAATATTTCGCAGCATTAAAAGAGCTGAAGGTTTTCGGATACCAAGCAGTCGTCAACCACGTGTTTGTTATTACATTGTCATCGAACAGCAGATCGGTGGCTCTGGTGACATCTGAAACAAAGAAAGCTAGGTGATATGATGTGCCAAGCACTCAAAGCGTGCGTGCGTTTGCTTCTGTGTACTTGGGCTATTGGCCGTTTGCCATAGCCAATCATGGCTGCTTTTGATTCAGCGTCCATGTGACTCAAATAAATTTTCGACTGCTTGGCGCGCCCTTTTTGGTGTTATCATCATCAGTATACACGTCACATAGAGGTGGAAAGCATCTCAGCTACTGTGCCGCAATATATAAAAGGAAAATTGCGACAGATGCGCGTCCGTTGAACTACTATTAACGGATGGACGTCATTCCGGAAAGCTACCAGCCGGCAACTATAGACAGCAAAATACATTTAGTATCAAAAATATTTAACACTAAGAAATGAGATGGCGGTTGGAAGTGGGGGCTAAGAAAGGTGAGGAGGGAAACAGAAACCCACAACAAGAACGCCACTGAAGTCGGCTTCTAGCAATATCAGCAAGCGTATCTAGCGTACCATGCCCAAAAGACGCGCCTCGCATTGTCCAGAATAAAATATGTATTTATTTATTTAAAAACTTATTTATCGTCTTTCGGACCACAACCAGCGACCCGAGACACTCCAACCGAGTCCACCTTCGAAGTAAGGACTTCCATTTCTCTCGACCAAGTCATCGCTTGCCCACCTCTCCTCGTCTTCCATCCACACCCCTGGCGCGCAAACAACGCACGTCGCGGGAGTCGGTAGACTGGCATGCGCAACAGGTGGCCGACCTATCGGAGCCTGATGCGTGAACTAAAGGTTCTGAACCGTTCATTTCCTTTTCTAGTGCCGGAAACAAGGCGTCCAACACGCTCGTTGCTCACACGGTGTTCCCACCAGATGTGAGCCAAACTGCGAAGGCACCGGTGGTCGAACCTAACTAGCCTCTTTTTGTCCGTTGAGCTAAGAGGCCAGGTTTCACAACCGTACGGTAGGGTCGAATGTACCACTGCATTGTACACTCTACCCTACAGGGCGAGAGTGATGTCGCAGCGGCGCCATAAGTGGCGAAGTTTAGCAAAAGCGCCTCGAGAATTTACCATACGGTCCGTCAGCTCATATTCCATCCCAAGAGCGCCGATACAACACCCCAGGTAGTTGAAAGTTTGAACGACTTCTAGCTGGTTCCCACCGAGGGTTAGCATAAGAGGCGATCCATGCAAAACTTGGAGGAAAGCTTTGCAGTTT